GGGAATTACTCTTGGTGTACTGGAGACATTTCCAGCAGGAACCAGTTTTTTTGCCTATAATAGTTTCATTGTTGACAGTCCAATCCTGCCCCCAGTGGAAGAAAGGCCTGGAGATCCTTTTTCCATAAAGTTCACAGCCAAGAAGACCCTATGGGACAGTTCTACCCTGTAACACATGGAGTCATTATGAGTGTGAACCCATTCAACAAAGTTCGGGGTTTGGGTTCAAATATAGTCTTTCCCACGAAGCCTTCCCTGTCACCTTAAGTGTCCCTTCCCCTTGGATAGTCCTTGAGGCTTGGCCTCTTAGCCCTGTGGCTCCTTCCGTGTATGAAAGAATCACAAGCTCAGGCTTCCTTGCATTGGCTGTGTCCCCACTTGGTCCATCGGACACAAGCTCGGGAGGATGGCGTTTGTGCAGTGGCAGCATCACAGCGCTCTGGCAGCAACCAGCGTGGCTCTTCAGCAGGAAGGTGAAGGCAGACAGGAGGGTGGGGATGGGGGTGTCCCCAGGACCCTCCTTATGAGAAGGTCACACCCACAAGGAGACATCATCAGTCTGTGACCTGATTCATAGGCTAGACTCCACCCCATACACTCTATTTATCAAGGTGACAAGAAATTATGTAACTACCGCGTGGTCAATGGCACCTTATAATACCCACACAGGCCACTGGTCTTCAGGTTCACCCTCTGAAATCAGGAAGAATCGTAAACTTGGTGAAATATAGAAGTAAAAAGTCATGCTTGTTCAGTGAGAAAGAAAAGAGCTAGTGGCAACATGCTGGACACAGATGAATGCTGAGCTGATAGAGAAAAATCAGAACACCAGGGCGTACCTGAGTCCTGGCTTCCACAGAAATGACCCAGTGGGGCGTGGTGAAACCAGTCAAACCAAACTCACTAACCCTGTGGGAAAGGTAGAACTGCCCCTGTGAGTTTCTGAGACTGTAACTCTTTATGGGACTAGAAAGTCTAATCTTTCTCCCAAGGAGCGGTTGGTGGTTTCAAACCACTGACCTTGCAGTTAGCAGCCTAACACATTAGCACTACGCCACCAGGGATTCTGGAGAGTGGTGACATGGGGTGACAACGGGCACTTGGGGCTAATTGTACTGAGGTAACAAAGACACACCTGGGCTCCGGCCTCCCTGTCCCATGTGGGAACGGTTGTCAGGGGAGAAGACAGGAAACAGAGTGAGTGGAGGGAACACTACTGGCTCCCCATTTTACCGAAGCCGGAGGAGAGAGACGTGGTCTGCTTCCAGGTCAGAGGTCCGGTCAGCAACCCCAATGCTCAGCTTGCACATACGTGTACATGGCCATCACCGTAAGCTGGAGAGACAGCTTAGGCAGACACTGATAAACCCCAACATGCTTCGTGCTCAGCAGTGGGGAGTTTGTCAAGCACAGGCCTTTAACTGTCGAGAACCTAACTGTTTGTGTTAGTATCTCTTACAACGCAAAGTCCAGTGTTACGGCACTGCACTAGATGCACGATTTTGAATCTTTTTTTTTTTTTGAAACTTACCATATCACGAGCTTCTTCCTGGCCAGTAGACCCTTTGGTAATTTTTTTTCTTTTGATTTTTATTGTGGTTTCCATGAAGGTTTGCAGAGCAGATCATCAGGCTTGCCTTCAACAATTTATCCACATTTTGTTTCAAATCATCCATTTTGATTCCTCCAAAATTTGAAGGGCTTAGACACATTCCATCTATAGACTGTTTACTTAGCCAGTCTCCTATTATAGTGGACATTTTCAGCGATCGCCAACTTTTCACTGTTTTGAATCGTACTCAGACAATAGTATAACTATGTCTATGAAGTCATTTTTCATCACCTGCTTAGAATAAATGCCGATCAATGAAGTCACTGGGTCAAGTCCTCACGTAGTTTTAAGGATGCTATCCAATTCTTCTTCAAAAAGACTGGTGATTTACACAGCCACAAGTCAGCAATAGTGTATAACCAGCCCTTTTCTCTTAATCTTGCCGAGACTGATGATTTCTCAGGCGGTGTAGTGGTTACCACGTGGGCTGTCATCAGGAAAATCTGGCATCTGAAACTACCAGCGAATCTAAAGGAGAAAGATGAGGCTTTCTACTCCTGAAAAGAGTTACTACTGTCTTGGAGACTCACATGAGCAGTTCTGCCCCAGCCTGTAAGGTTGCTTGAGTGGCTATCAACTTGGCTGTGAGTTTGGTTTTGGTGGATGGCCACATGGTCTAGATGGTCCCCACCCCTGTCTTCAAAGGATCAATGGCGATCTTGCCGATCTTGCCTCTTAATTCTTTGATTTCTACATTCTAATCTGCATTTTATTAGCCTTGAACTCTTATCTCCTGCATCCCAGATCTTTGTACTTTTCTTAGGAATTGTTTACTCATGTCCATAGTCAATTTCTTTCCCTACTTTCCCCTGCAATTTTTTTCTTTGCTTTTTCCTTATCGAGTAGGAAGAATTATTTGTGTGTCAAATAAATAAAGGCTCTTCTGACCACTGGAGGACCTGGATTGTGCAAACAATGAATGCACATTAACCGTAGATTGGACATCTCAGATCCGCCCAGGTGCCTCAGAAGAAAGGCTTGGGCATTCAGTTCAGAAAAGTCAGTCACTGAGATCCCCATGGAGTAGCATTCCACTCGGATAACACACAGGCCACCATGTTGCTTTGGTTGTGTGTGTGTGTTTTCTGACATGTAAAATATAAATATGTTCCTCATTTGTCTTTAGTTTTATTTACTTTTTTTAAAAGGCAGTTTCTGAAGAATAAAATTATAAATCCTTTCTATTACAATTTTTTCTTTTAGTCTCATGCTTAGAAGATCTTCCCCAACACAGACTATATGGTCATGTCTACTTCCATCTAGGTCTTTCATGGTTCTACGTAGACATTGAACTATTTAAGACATCTTGTAATGCACCTAGCTTTCTATCCCTTCCAAATATTTAACCAGTAACCCAAATATCACTTTGTAAATCACGTGTTATTTTCCCACTGATTCAGCATGTTAACTTGATCACATTTCAAGTTCTTATCAGTGCCTGGCACGATTTTAAATCCACAGAGTAGCTATGCTCAAACCGTAGCAGCCCTGCTTTGAATGCTCTGCTTTATGGGCATGTCTATAACTTCAAATAAAGCTTATAAGTTACTCCAAATAAAGCTTAGATCCTTTTTGCCCCTTTCCATTGTCTGTAAGGATGTTGATTTGCTGCATCAATTAACTTAGAGACCAATTGACATCATGACTGGATTTTGCCATCTGAAACCATTATTGGCAGCTCCTCTCTCAGTAAATAAGACCTGTCCATTCATGATGGTTCGAGGAACTCAAGGAGACATTGCTAACACCGTGGCTTCTGGATTCAGGTTTCTCTCAGTCAGTAGAACCAACCAACATGCCCTTGTCTCCAGCTCTCTCATTTACACACGCCTTCCCCCCTGTTTTCAGACCTCTCTGCGGCCTCCCATTTCTAGAACCCTGGGCTCTCTTCTTCTTGCTCTCCCTTCCTCCTGACTCCACCCCTGCTCCCATCTGGCTTGAATCGCATAGTCCATCGTCGAGATAGCTCTCTCTCCAATTGTGTCCAGTTTCACATCTCACGACACCCGCTCATCCAAGTCCATCCCACGATCCTGTCCAGATGACCCCTTATTTCCACCCACACCACGCTGCTTAGCCCTTGTAGGACAAAGTCTCTGGGGGGGAACAAGCTGCCAAACAAAAACCTCACCGCCATCAAGTTCATTCCAACTCATAGAAGCCTCTAGGACAGGGTAGAACTGCCGCTGTGGGTTTCCAAGGGTGTAACTCTTTATGGGAGTAGAAAGCCTCATCTTTCTCCCATGGGTAGCTGGTGGTTTCAAACAGCTAACCTTGCATTTGGCAGCCCAGCATGTAACAACCCACTACACCAAATTGCTCAGCATGAAATCACTTTGTGCCATTGTACCCGTGGCACCCAGCCTCCAGGGCGCTCTGTGCTACCAAACTGGGGGTTGTCATCCTCAAGTCAAAATGAATCCACCACTTCCTACTGTAATTTAGCATAATCGGTGCTCTCTGTTGCAGGCTACACGTTGGGCTGCCACCTGCAAGTTCAGCTGTTCAAAGCCACCAGTCACTCCATGGGAGAAAGATGAGGCTTTCCGCTCCAGTTAAGAGTTAGTCTCCCTACCCCCCAGGGGTCCTTCGACCCTGCCCTATAGGGTTGTTGTGACTTGGAATTGACTCAATGGCAGGTGGTTGTAGATGCTAAGGAGCTCTAGACATGATGTCAAGTAAGCACTGGATTGCTAACCACAAGGTCATAGGATCAAACCCACCACTGCTTCACAAGAGAAAGATGAGACTACTTGCTCCAATAAGGATTCCCACCTCAGAAACCTTATGTAGGGTTGCTATGAGTTGGACCTGAGTCAATAGCAGCGGGTTCCATTGTTTGGTGTGTGTTGGGAGGGGGTGGGGGCGAGGCTGTGTTTAGTGGCAGGTGCTATTAGCAACTACCCAAGTACTTGTACCTGACCATCGGTACCATGGGTGTTGACAGCTAATCACTCAACCATGCCACATCCCAAGAAATTTGTCTGTCAAGTCCGAAATCTGCAGGTCAGTGCATGCTACCTGGCCCAGGGTGACCTGCCCTCTCCACCCTCCCTGAGAGGGGCAGCACTCAGAACTCAGAGTGACTGAGTGAGACAGCTGCACAAAAGGCTGATTCTCTGGTGATACAACAGTTAAACGCTCAGCTGCCAATCAAAAGGTCAGTGGTTCAAGCCCATCAGCCACTTTGTGGGGGAAAATAGCGCTACAGTTTATGGACTGAACACTTGCCTTGGAGTTTTCCAGAGAAACACACACAGAGATAGAGACTTCAAGAAACTGATGGACGTAATCATGGGGGACCATCAGGTCCCAAGCCTGTGTGCTAGGTGACAGACTGAGGACGCTCCTGCAGGCGTGGGTCCCGAGAGCCCTGGGTCAGTGACAGGTAGGGTGCAGAGTGAAGAGCGACAGAGTTCTGCCAACACGTCTATGTTTAGTCTGGAAACAGAACAAGCTGTGAAGAATTTCCTTTCCAACGGACTGCCTGATTATGCTAGATAATAATATGGAAGAGCAACTAGATTAGTGTTTGGCCCAAACCACTAGGAACCACAGCTAGCCAAGTTAACACATACCATTCACTCTCAGAAGCGTTTTTGAATAAAGCTAAGGTTAGATTTTACCAAAGGCGACATGCTTTTTGGTTCATTGTGAATTAGGGGGAAGTTTACAGAGCAGGTCATCAGTTTGTGAAGCATTTTCTTTGTGCACGATGTTATGCCAATTGACCTGGGTGGCCCCCGAGACTATGGGCAAGGCCACGTCCTGGACTGGCACCTTCCCATGCCCTGTTCCACTTCCCTGGCTCACTTTCAGAAGAGCTATGTCTCAACCAACCTTACTCTTCTGAATCCTTGTCTCAGACACTGCTCCTAGGGATGCCCCTGATCTACGCTATTCCTTCAGAGGGTTACAGAGAGGATTAAACGTATGACTGTAAATAAGCATCTTTTCCATAGTTTACCAGGAGTAGTAGACTCTTGCAGCATTAACTTTCATTGTTTTTAAGTAACACTATTACGTATTACTATTAAAGAAGCTCTGGCGGTGCTTTCAGGTAAGTGTTGGACTGCTAACCACAAGGTTAGTGGTTCAAATCCACCAACTGTTCCATTGGAGACTTTCTGAAACTGTATAGCGTTGCTATGATTTAGAATCAACAGGATGACCAGAGGTTCTTGGGACATTATTGATAGTACAGCCACTCAACTATGAGGCTGTGTCAGTGTGGCGGTTTGCATGTGGGAGCTCTATGGAACACAACAGATTATCGTGCGAGATAGCGCTGGAAGATGAACCGCTACATTGGAAGGTTCTCAGATTACACAATGGCCGAAACAATGGACTTGATTACACTAATCACCATGAAGTTGGCACAGAACTAAGCAAGATTTTGTTTTGGTGTGCCTGGGATCCAACCATTAGTTGGAGCTGACAATGGCAACTAACCATGATTGCTATACAAGACTCACGCATGTCTATCAGCCATGGCCCAGTTGAAAGTCTTATGTTGGGTGCAGGGTCCCTGGTGGAGCAGTGGGATCAAGATGACCTGCTAACTAAAATCGCTGCCTCCCTAACAATCTGCAGTCTCAGAAACCCAATGGAGCAGCTCCACTCTGTGCTATAAGGTCACTATGAATCGGAATCGATGAGACAGCAGGGTAGACAGGTAGATAGAGTAGGTGAGTCAGGAATCAGTTCAGAGTAAAATTAGACACATAAGAAATGTAGAAGGAACTGGTGGCATTTGGTTTGAAAAGACACAGTGGCTCTTTCCAATGCCTTTAGAGTTGGATACATTTAGAATCGTGGTCTCAGAGGCTTGGGTGGACAGGGTCTACTTTCTGTTGTATAAAAGAGAATGTTCTCATAATCAGAGCTACCCATCACAGGAAGCAACCAAGCCGAGGCTGGAAATTAAAGGGGGAAAAGTCTTGCTTTGGGAGAGGGTTGAATGAAATGACTACTAAGATTGTTGACTCAGTAAGGGGAGGGCTTCGATGTCCATGGCCCCATACACGTACATATAGGACCCCACGTGTCTTTCCTTCTTCTCCACAGAGTGTGCACGTCTGTTCCATGCTGGTGGGGCAAGGCTAGTGCTGTGTGCCAAGAACTGGGAGAGGCTAGAGAACCTTTATGACACCTTGGTTAATGTGGCTGACCCCAGCAAGGTAAGACCTTGGTTTGGGTAACTCTGGGTACCCTTGGTTGTTAAGGGTCAACTCTTTGACCAGATAGATGGATTTCTGTTGTTGGGTGAAATTGAATGAGAGCTTGGGGGAATACCAGGGGATGGGTCTACTGATCTTGACACGGGATATCTGCCAATCCCTGAGGCCTATTAGTTTTGATCACTCACCATGCCAAAAAATGTGCACAATATATGGAATCCAGGATGGATGGGTCTACAGAGATAGTAACTGGATGAATGGTGTATTGGGGGTATTGGAGAGAGGTATTTGGAAAGGTTTGAGGTAAATGGAAAACTGGCAGGGGAAAGCCAAAAATGTTCTGGAACTGCTTGTAGTGATGAGTGTACAACTCTTTATGATATGACCTAACTATTGAAGTGCATGATAGGTGAGTGATCTGCCAATAAAACTATTATTTAAATTTAAAAAGAAAAAAATGTGTATTATATCCATGGCACCCCACCCCATTCTATTTAAGTCAGACTCATTGAGGATCAAGAAGATAAAGAAGGTGTAAAGCCTATATACTAGGTGCCACCCAGTCATTTCCAACTCATGGCAATGCCGTGTGTGTCAGAGTAGAAGTGTACTCCACGGCATTTTCAATGGCTGGATTTTTCAGAAGTAGATCACCAGAAATTGACTTCAGAGCAGCGAGGTTGGTTTGGTTTTTAGAGCCTTTGATATGCTACCATATATTATGTATTTCCAAGAAGAACACATGGTAGTCTGTGTTTCCCAAATGTAACCAGGGAGTCATCTTTACAAAGCTGTTGGTCCAGCACTGGGATTCCATTTATCACATAGATCATCAATTTTCTATCCATCTCCCTCTCTAGACTATGGGAGTCTTGATGGAAGTAAGTGTCTAGGGCTGAACATGGTACCTGGCACGGAGTAGTTACACTAAAAACAATATTTTGCTGAGAGTATGATTTGGGTCAAAAGCAAAATGTGACTACAATTATGGTTGTTAAAAATAATCAAAATTCACCACAGTGGCTCACTACCATTGAGTTGATTCTGACTTATACAACTCTACGTAGGGTTTCTGAGCCTGTAAATCTTTATAAGAGCAGAGAGCCTCATCTTTCTCCCACAGAGAGACTGGTGGACTTGAACTACTGATTATCTGACTAGCTGTCCAACACTTACCCTACAGCAGCGCCCCGCCCCCCAAGCAAAAACAGCCTCACTGCTACCAAGATGATGCTGATTCATAGCACCACTAGAGTTCCTAATATGCATTAAAAACCAAACTCACTGCCATTGAGTAGATGCCAACTCAGTGACCCTACAGGACAGGGTGGAACTGCCCTGTGAGGTTCCAAAACTGTAACTGTTGATCGGAGTACAAAGCCCCCATCTTTCTCCCAAAGAATGGCTTGGCTGGCTGGTGGTTTCAAACTGCGGTCCTTGCGGATCGTGGCTCAATGTATAACCACTATACCACCAGGACTCCTGTCCTTATATGCATAGAGGAAGATCATTTTGATTCTTGTAAAAGCAAATGGTTTGAAGACGCTAAATACAATGGGACTTACAAAAGATGACAAATTGCACAACTCTTAACATATCTAAACTACGGAACTGTATAATATGTTGATTATATGTCAGGAAAACTGTTAACATGTTTAAAAGAGAGATAAATCAGAAAGAATGACTAATGGCTAATCGTAGCATGAGTAACTGAATCCTGACCTCCGCATTTTCATGAACTCTAGGGATATTAGTCCCTAAAATAGTCTCTGACCGTCTACCCAGCCATTTCTTTTGAAATTCAAATTTAGTAAACCTGACTCTCCAGCAGGCAAAAAAGGATTTACAACTTCGGGTGAGCCCAGAGCTGCTGGCAGGTTCCTCTTAGCCAGGGAGATTTCCTGAACGTGGACTTTTGGGTTCCTGAGTAAGAAAACACCCAAATCAATGCAAGATGTCAGCCATCCATTTCTCTCTTTGATGTTTGAAAGTTTACTCATGTGGCCTGTAAACCACTTTGGAAGGCAGTTTGCAAAAAGAAGCTCACAAAAGTTCTGAGTGATGATGTCGCC